CACCAGCACACACAGTGACAGCACCGAGTTAGCATGACATGGCTAACGTTACCTAATTTTCTTAACAGGTTTAACGATAGCAAGAAGCTGTTTCAGTGTTGGGTGAGTTTATTGGGACTGTCGAATGGCTCGGTGTTGGATGTGAGCCACTGCTGCTGTGTTAGCTTGTGCTAATCGGTCAGACTCTCAGGCTCTGGTGACGACAGCAACAGAAAGTTTGCTTATACGGTGGGGAAGTCATGACAGACAGCTCAAAAAGCATCGAATGCAGGTATTGTTGGAGTGGAGAAGTTTCGATACTACTTGGTACTGAGTTATTCAGTCAATACCTTAAGTTATTGAGGACCAATACCCAGCCTTACAGAACAGGAAGAAGACACACAGGAAGCTTGTCATATTTACAGTGTTGAGCTCCAATGTCTGTATCAGCAAAAATGAACCCCCTGCGTCCTTGAGAGACTGTGCACACTCCTAACCTCTATATTTCTCTCCCTCCACCAGACGAGCTGAAGCACATCATCGGAGCAGACACCACGAGAAAGGGCATACTCCGCGTCTTTGACATGTTTCAGTACCAACCCATGAACCGTCGGCTAGTCTACGTTTTCCTGGAGGGCTTCTTGGAGACAATGTTCCCCCAGTACAAATTCCCCGAGCTCTTCGTCAAGCTACACTCTCGCTCACCACGCATCCACAGATACAGCCAGAAACTCAAATCCTCCTCCCTCAAGAGGTGACAGGAGAGGTCAGAGGCAGCGGGACATGGGCCGACCGGACACACACAGACTTGAGAGCTAAGAGTGAGAGTCGGGGGGAGCGGGGCTTTGACGTGAACATCGAGGTATGTGTGTGATTTCTGCCCTTCCACTTCCCTCACACGCTCTTTTCAATAAAAACACTCCAATTCTCCAGCTGATTATTTCTTTCAAGACAGAACTGAAGGATGAACAAGACGCACTCTGCCCTCCTCTCACTCTGTGACACACACACACACCTGCGCAAACACAAATCCTGTAACTTGCACCAAGACTGGACACAGCAGTCTTTTCTTTTAGTTCAGATATTTTCCTCCTCCTTTTTGGACTTTTTAGTTGTATTTCGCTTTACCCTGGGCCAATCAATGCTGCTTTCTCCTGGTCCAGAGAGCAGACCACAGATACTGTATTGTTTTTAAACTGCAGGAGTAGATAGCATAGACCCACACCTTGCCTTACCTTCCCGCTTCTGTCTTTCGGCCAGCACTCATCACCATCTCAGTGACCTGGCCGCTCAGCTGTAGTCAAACTTACCCTCATGCTGTAGACATTTTATCTGCAAAAGCTGCACACTTGTGAACAATATTTTGTTTTCATAGCAACCAAATATGTCAATAGCACTGGGTTTTTAAAATGTGACTGAACAAGTATGGGTCGAGAGAGATGATTTAGATTTTTATTGCTTTTTCTTTTTTTTTTTTCCTTCAGCCTCAGTGCCTCTCTTGAGACACGATTTCTTTTTCTTTCCTTTATCATCTGTACCACCCATGATCCTCAAAGAATAGATCCACGTCCCCTTTAATGCTACTGTCATAACCTGTGATGACCAAAGCTCATGCTGTTCCATACGTGTGTGTGCACTGGTTTGATGTCGGGATACTCTGAACATTACTGTGCTTCATATCCTTAATCATGTGAGGAAAGAGAGCGCAGAGTCGACCTTTAAAAGGTGAGGCTGTGAGGACACACTGAAGTGTGATACCGTTGTGGGAGGCTCAGCTCTGGCTGTCCGAGCGCACTATCAAAGAATGTACTCTCTGGTCTAGTGTATTTGGCTCGTGTAGAATTTTGTGTGAATGGGTGTGTGTATGTTTGTGTGTGTGTGTGTGTGTTTGTTTGTGTGTGTGTGTGTTTAGCACGAAGATACAACCCTCTTCATTCAGAAACTGTGCCAGTGTGAGCTAGTGAACCAGCCTTAACTATATACAGTATATACTGACCAAGAGACGCACGCTAGAGGTAGCTCTCCTTCACTCGACTGAACGTTACAAGGAAATCAAGATAGAGATATGGAGATATATCCCTAATCACGTCTTTAATTTTGTGCAATATTTTTTTCTTTAATGCATGTGCATTTTGAATCATTGTATACTGAAAATTAGTAATTCATATTGTTTTAATAGTAGAGAATGTTAAAGACGCTTCCCCAGAAATGTCTTCTTGTCCCAACAACTTAACATTCCGTTGTTGTAAAAGTACAATGTTTATTTTACAGACTTGTTTTATAAGTCTGAGATATTTCTTTTGTTTTGTTTTTAATGTGTGGGGGGGTATTTTACACTTATCCTTCACACACTCACACAGACTGTGTTTTGTGGGTATGGACTGGGCAGTGGTCGGGGGTTTTCTGTGTCGCAGCCCAATAATTAGCTCATTGGGCTACAGCTAGTTCAGAGGCGGGCTCAAACAACTGCTTCTTTTTAACTCATAAGTGGCGTTTTATGCATCTAAGCCTGTTCTGTTTAGTGTGAACAGATCTATGTTGTTAACTGACAGCTCGAGGGACCGCCCCCCCTCTCCCCTCCTGTCCAAAAGGCTCACATGAGAGCCATGTTGTGGCCAGTGGAATCACTGCTAACGAGCACTTACCGTAGCAACTGTGGGAGGGCCTCTCCCATTGGCTGGACGGAGCCCCATTCTGCTGCAGTCATTGGATGGAACTCCCTCGTCTGCTTTGATTTGCTTGCACTGAGCAGCCCTGGTGGACTCTGATTGGCTGAGTAGGGGGACATGAACTGGAGCCGCTTACTGGGAAGTGAATATTTTGTTTGTTCCTGCGTCTACGGAGGTGTCACTTCTAATTTTCTGCACATCTCTCCATATAGGAAGGCTTGTTGTTTTTTTTTAACCCCCAGTATTTATGAATCTATGATAATGAAAATTGTGCATATCTGTGTACAGTATGTGTTAATAGTGTGCCTAAATGTACTGTCAACTCTATTTTCATATTTTTCTTTAACCTAAAAAAAAATCAATCAGAATGTCATGATCATTTTATGCGACTGAAAATGACTTTAGGGTGTTTTTTTGCATCATGCTTATCAAACTCCTCCTTGTGAGCGATTGTGCTCAGATCAGTATAACACTAATAAAAGGTAACTCAGACTAACTGACCCAGTGTGTGTTTGCTGTCTTCAGTGTGTTTACTTTCTGCATATGTGGTTTGTAAAGATCTGCAGGTTGTGTGTGATTACTGTGATGAAAATGAGGTGTGGAAATTTGTTCAGCAGACAAAAGCACCTCATAAAAGACAGACCAATAACTGATGTAAGATAATCTCCTGACTCCCTGCTGTCTACAGTGCAGTCTGTGAGTATATGTACAGTGAAACACTTTGACTTGTGTTGGACGTAGGGCTGTACCGAGTAGTTTGAAGCTCCAGTCACAATGGTGGCATTCAAAATTGGAAACTGCACAGCTTTTTCCCTGTGTATTTTCATTCTCCTCTGTTCATTTAAATCCAGTATTTAGGCACAGTTGCAGATGAGATTAGGCGACACCACTATGACAGGATTCCCACAATCATGGGATTTCAAGATCTTGTTTTCCAGGCTTGGAAATGTCATGGAATTTGTGCAGTGAAATTGTTACCGTAATTTTCTGTGGATAACCTTAAATGTATTATCAAAACGGCAAATTCACTTTCTGTGGCTGTTGACGCAACAGGGTGCTAGCATGCGTCGACAGTATGATTTATTGTGTCTCATGATCCTAGGCCCCACTACTTTTAAACTGCACTGCATTTTTGAGATGGTGCAATTCACATGGGCAGCCCAGGGTGTTCAGTTGGTGCCAATGTGCATGTTTTAAATGCTCTGAAAGTAGAGTGTAGTAGTTTGACAGAAAGGGGGGGGGGGGGGGGGGGGGGGGGGGGGGGGGGGGGGGGGGTTTATCCAAACAAATTAAGCAACAGGTTAAAAAATGAAGATGGTTTTAGGTAATGATGTCATACAATTTTATTACACATTTGAAGTTTCATTCAAAAACCGCAATAGAAGCCACAATTGGTACAACCCTTATTGAAAGTCCTGACTGTTGGCTTTAATTTGAGGGTGTTTATATTAGGGCTGCAATGATTAGTCGACTAATAGATGACTAATCGACTACTAAAATAATTGGTGACTATTTTAGTAGTTGACTAATCGGTTTGAGTCATTTTTGATAGAAAAGTACTGTAAAAGTACCCCAAAATACTCTTATTGCAGCTTCTTACGTTCAAATATCGGCAGCTTTGCACTAGGGATGCACCGATCCGATATCTGGATCGAATATCGGCCCCGATATCAAAATGGATGGATCGGGTATCGGAAAATGTAACCTACACCTGAGGCAATCCTTTCCCTTTAAATCTATTGCGATGCGAGCTATGTCATACGTCATGGAGCGAAGGAGAGAATCTGCTGTGTGGAGGTATTTCACACTATTTCAACTACTGTTGCACAATTGTTAATTTTTGTTGAAAATGAATAGTTCATCATTGTGTTAATCTGTTTCATTTTGTTTCATTTTATCTTTGGAAAGAACTGTGTAGTCATCAATGCCTGATGCCTCTTAGTCTTTTCTGTTCTACATGTAAAGGTATATAGCTTTTTAGGTCAACCATAGTATCGGATTGTTAACGGGTATCGGGTGATACTCAAAGCCACAGCATCGAGATCGGTATCGAAACTGAAAAAGCTGGATTGGTGCATCTCTACTTTACACTCTCCCATGATGGTGAACTACAACTCTTTGGCTTGAGTACGAAACAAGACATTAGATGACATAATTTTGGGGTTTGGGAGAGACAGACCTACATTTTTCAACATTTTAACACATTTTTCGATAAAATGATTAGTCGACTAATCGAAGAAATAATCGACAGATTAGTCGACAATGAAAATAATCGTTTAACTAATTTATATTCATATCAGGCAAAACAACTAGGAAATTGTAGCCTTAGTGTTGTCCCACTGCACTGTCCTATTTTTTTTTTTTTTAAAGTCTCAAATCTCTTTTCTTCCACTGATGGATCTCTCTTTGTGGAGCAAAGCCAGCCAGGGTTGGAAATCAGCACCAGCCACGAGCCAAATGCTGATAAAACATGCAAATGACTGCTTCATTTGCTTCACTCACCAGCCAAAAAAAATAATTGAGTGTCTGGGTGATGTAGGAATCTGCCAGCCACAGTGGGAGGTGGACAGAGAAGTTGATTTCCAACCTTGGAGCCAACCCAGCTCAATTTGAAGCCCTGAGCAGGACAGACAAGTGAGTGATGAGTGTGTGTTCTTATAGGCGAGGGGATCATTTTCCCTGCTGGTGTTTAAATTACCTTACATACCTAATAAATGGAGTGTTATGTAACAGTGCTGCTGTGGTCAAACACTCATGTTGTCCTGATGATGGTACCTAAAGTAAGATTTTGCTTGTACGTATAAATAAACTTGTAATCTAGGGAATTAGTATTTTTGAAAATGTGTTTTTATGCATGACAGTCACCTTTTTGATTGAATATGTGATCTTCCATTTTTAATTCATTTCCAATATTGCAGGATGCTTGGTCCATCCAAACAATGCCAACGTGCCAACTATAGTGCAAAGACAGCATCTCTTTTCTAGCTTCTTTAACCTTGTGTCCTATTGTCCATAAATATCTGCACACCCTTGCAGTCCATGTTTGAGCCATCAAATGTTCATTCGTGCTGTCGTGACTTCCCCAAACAGCCTTCACGTCTTCCTCTGCGCTCTTCCTACTGGGTCAGCGATGACGACAACCCCCCATGAAGCCAGACCTTAAAGATAAAACACAGGTGTGCATTTATTATTTCAAAAGACATTCACAAGTGATGTTACACCTACAAGTGCAGAGAGGTCTTACAGGCAGCAAATACAAGCTGTGCCACTGTCCCAATAGAGGTAGTTCCACCTTGTCGCATCACTCTCCGGGCTGCACTGAACACATAAGCTCCGGACAGGACCAAACCTCCGCCGGAGATGAGCCGACAGCTCCAGCAGCTCCTAAACATCTGGTCGGGTTTTGACACGGGGGTGCCTGTTCCTCCTGGGACTGTTGACATTGTACCACAGCGTGTGTGCTAATGCTAACGCCAATGCCAATGTACTTCCTGGTTAAAAACGCACGAAGACGTCAGACAAACATGAAAATAAATAAGACCCCGCTTCTCAAATACGTCCTCATGTGTTTAAACAATTAGTCCACATGAGGAAGGAAGTTACTACCAAAAGTTTGTCTCAGGTTCTGCTCATGCCGGGCTGTAGAAAGGTCAGACTTGTGAACTACTTCCGGGGTATTCAGCATTGTTTCCTGTGTTGTCCTTTCAAAATAAAAGTTTGTTTATGTCTTGCTGCACGGTTGCCGCTAGTTCTGTGAATAAGCTGTCTTCTGTTAGTCGTTCAGGGCGTGTACACAAGTATTTGGAAATGTAACCTATGGACCTGCTGCAAAAACTACGATCGTGTAGATCCAGATTAGTGAATTAAACACAACTAATCGCAGGAGGGGTTGCTGAGTCAGGAGTAGGTCTTCTGACCTCTGTTATGGTGTAACTAGTCCATATGGGAAACATCGGTTCCTGTCTCTCAGGGAAGAAACAATGTTTTTGTTCATTGTCGTTTTTGTCAGTCGCTTTTTTACTTCGGCTTTTGGTCAATCAGAGCCCGTTGTGGACTTCTCTTATGTTGCTGCTGTGTATGAGCATAACTTAATCCTGAACCCGGAGCCCCATGTCCCCCTGTCCCGCTCCGCAGCCCTGCAGCATATGCAGAAAAACCTGGATGTCTACGAGGAGCAGGCAGCCCGGGCTGCTCAGCAGGTATGGTCAGGTTAGGTGAGAGTTGTAAATGTTTATTTGACAAATAAATAATTGTGGTTATTGCTAATTTCATAAATAACTCTCCTCTGTTAAGTCATTATCAGTATTCCTCAGAATTATATGCTTAAAGGTAAGGGGTAAAAAAGCTTTCATAATGAACTTCAGTTGGCTTTAAAGGAGGGAGACTCAAAGCCAAACTTTGTCCTGCATGTTACAGATTTTCTTGACGATATTTTTGGCTGAACCTGTAAAACTTAACATGATTGTTAATTGTTAACTCTCTATTTTTTAGTTCTTGGACCCTTTATGTAAAGTCTCAGATGTCACCAAGGTCATAGGTTTGGTTTCCACATTGGAGGGGGCCCATATGAAACAGGGGGATTTGGGTTCTCTGTTAGAATATTTTGAGCATTAATGCTTTTATGTCTTTACTGGGCGGGGGGGGGGGTGGGGATTGCTCATTCTAAATATTGAGGGAGACATGTAAGTAAAATTTACAAGAAAGAAATCATCGAGACAAAGTGACGATGTGAGTCATGTCGTGAAAAGTGTTGAGCAAAACTATTTGTCACACACACGAGAATGAAAGGAGAACAGCTCTGGCACATACAAGTTACCTCAAACGCTTGAATGCTGCATGTCTCCTGCATGTCTCCTGCATCTCCTCTGAAATAACAACATGGCACCACAACAGCAGCAATCAAAGTTCTTAATGATGTCATCAGTGCTCTGGATGATAAACAGCACTGTGTGTCCCTCTTTACTGACCTGTCAAAGGCCTTTGACACAGTTGACCGTGACATTATGAAACAAAGATTAGTCAACATAGGTTTATCTGACATGGCAGTGGGTTGGTTCAGTAACTACCTCTCAGATAAAGCACAATGTATGCAAATTGAGGGTATGACATCTGATAAGCTGAGTATCCACAACGGGGTGCCACAGGGCTCAGTTCTTGGACCTCTCCTCTTTGCTATTTATATAAATAACATTGGTAATGGTGTAGAAAATGCTAAATTTCGCATTTATGCAGATGACACAATAATGTACTCTTGTGCGTCAACATTAGAAAAGGCTTTTGAAAAACTTCAGAGTGCTTTTACTAGTTTACAAGTGCAGCTGTGTCAGCTAAAACTTGTCTTGAATGCAGACAAGACCAAGCTGATGGTATTTACCAGGTCAAAGAAAGAGCCCCAATCTTTACCTCAGATTACCACAATGCAGGACAAATCAATAGAACGAGTATCATTCTATAATCTTAATTTTGATTTTCATATTGAGTCCCTGGTAAAAAAAAAAAAAAAAGCTCAGACTTAAATTAGGCTTTTATTTTCGCAATAAATCATGTTTTTCTTTTGAGGTGAGGTGACAAACTGCAAATCACTAACTCACCACTGTATTCTTTATCACAAAGTGGGATGGCCATCCCTTATTTTACGTAGGCTGAGTCACTGGTTTGTTTTTATTTATAAGGCAATATTGAAACAGGTTCCAAGCTATTTATGTACATACATTGTCCAGCAGACAAACACAAGTTACTGTCTACGCTCACAAAAGTTGTTTTTACTGAGTGTAAAAAAGACTCGTAGCTACTGAGTTTGGTAAAAAGACGTTTCAGTTTGCAGCCCCTATGGCGTGGAATGAGCTCCAGAAGGACTTGAAATTACAGGAACTCATCTCTTTAAGTGCTTTTAAAACAATAGTTAAAGGTAGAGCAGGTGCTGAAATATGCAACTGCCTCTCCTCATAGCCTAGCACACATCATTTGTTGTTGTTTTTTTTATATTGTTTATATATTTTATACAGTACACTTGCCTGTAAAATGTTGTAACTGTGTGCATCTGTAATGATTTAATGTGTGTCTGTAACTTCTGCTGCCTTCTTGGCCAGGTCCCTCTTGAAAAAGAGATTCTTAATCTCAGTGAGGCAAACCTGGATAAATAAAGGTTAAATAAAATAAATAAAAAAATAAGCCTATGGACGTCTCTGCTGTTGTTACTTGCTATGCTGTGCACAATATTTAACACTTGCCCACACTCAGATCATAACCAGAGACCACTGAATTTAAGATTCAAGAACTATTTGATTTCTGACATAAGTCGCTAAAAAAAGCCCAGTCAGGATATTATTAATGTGATGGCAGGGTGCTCATGAGGGTGGGCATATATTACTGCAAACGAATCAGTGTTCCCAAGTTAACTTGGTAACCAGGAGTGCTTGTTTTTCTCTTTGTTCTCACATAAAGAAGCACATTTAATGTCACACACTTCATGACTACAGTAGAGTAATGAAGATTGTTTCATCTCTGTACTCTGTCCTCATCTTCTCTCAATCAGGGAGCCCAGATCCTGGTGTTTCCAGAAGACGGTATTCATGGTTTCAACTACAGCCGTTCGTCCATCTCTGGCTACTTAGAAACCATTCCTGACCCCCAGCAGGAGAGCTGGAACCCCTGCACAGAGCCGGGCAGATACAACAACACTGAGGTGCACAATCACACTTCTAGATTTAAAGTTGTTATTGAACAGGCACTCTGACATGTGATATACTGACATGAAGACACCACTATGCTGCTCAGAGCCTTCACTCATGCAACACCAGTCTGTGAATTCTACAGGTTCTCCAGCGGTTGAGCTGTATGGCCCGTCGTTACAACCTCTATGTGGTGGCCAACATGCCTGACCTGCAGCCCTGCCCCCTGAAGACTGACCCCTCCTCCTCCTGTCCCCCTGATGGACACTGGCAGTTCAACACCAACGTGGTTTTCAGGTGCAGTGTAGACCTTAAAATAGAAATAGTGTAACTGAAATCCAGCAGGTGCACCTATACATCATTTCCAAGTAAACTCTTTTTTTTTACAGCTCAGATGGCCTGCTGGTGGCGCGCTACCATAAATACAACCTCTACTTTGAGGAAGCCTTTGACACACCGCCTCAACCTGAGATCATAACGTTTGATACACCTTTTGCTGGAAGCTTTGGCCTCATGATCTGCTTTGACATCCTGTTCCATGATCCCACAATTGTCCTGGTGGAGAAGGTAAAAAACAGCCGCTCAAATTCTGTACCCAGTTCTACATTCCTGTGTTTAGTCTCCTCTTGTCCTGACATTGGCCTCTCCTTTAGGATGTGCGTCAGCTGATCTACCCCACAGCCTGGATGAACCAGCTCCCCCTATTGGACACAATCCAGTTCCAGCGGGCGTTCAGCTTGGGTGCTAATGTCACCTTACTAGCAGCCAACATCCGTAGTGACCGACTGATCATGACAGGAAGTGGCATCTACACCCCCTTCTCTGCCACTTACTACCACGCCCAGAAAGGAGAGCCAGAGGAGGGCAGGCTGCTGGTGGCCAGGGTGCCAGTGTTAGACCCACTGTGGGTGGGGCGGAGTGGAACCACAGGGGAGGGTGTAGTTAGTAGTCAGTCCACATCATCGACACCTACAGACTCTGGATACTGTTACCAAGACAGCTGTTTTAATTCTCCTCCTCCTGAAACAGCTCCATCAGTTCCTCCCTCCTCCACCACCTTTATCTCATCCATGATGTACGACCCATTCACATTTGTCCTCTTAAACCAGACAGAGGGTGAAGTGAATGTGTGTAATGGCACCTTTTGCTGTCACCTGCAGTACCGGCGCTTACCGCAGGGTGGCAGTGAAGAGCTCTACGCATTAGGAGCATTTGCTGGAACACACACTGTGAACGGACGCTATGCCCTGCAGGTATGAATGACAATAAGTTTGAATATTTTCAAGCTGCTTTTTGAGACTCTTGTCACATGTGTCATATCTGTGTTGCAGGTGTGTGCACTGGTCCGCTGTGCAGGGTTGGACATCAGTTCCTGTGGACAGGAAGTAGAAGAGGCTGAATCTAAAATGGACTTCATGTTGGAGGGGAAGTTTGGGACCAGATATGTGTACCCATCAGTCTTAGCTAGCAAGCTGGTTCTGGAGCAGCCTGAGCATCTGGAAAGAGCTGCAGATGGCACAGTGACCATGAGACACTCGAACATGACTGGTGGGCTGCTCACTGCCTGTCTGTACGGACGAATGTATCACCTTGACAATGAGTGAACTGCTTAGGAATAGATGGGTGTGGCAGGAGAAAAATGACAAATACATTTTAAAAACTGATTTATCAAAATAAGACGGGTTGAGTTGTCATACATTTGTCTTTTGTCATATACACTACTTACGTGTGTGAGTGAAAGCGCCAATGTCTTCTATGATAGCTCAAAGAACTCTGAATAAAACGGCAATCTGTCCAGGCAGTCCAGTTGGTCTGTGTCATTCCTTCCTCACATGTAGATCGCAGTAGCCCAGAATGCAAAAAGGCAAAGGAGTACGCCCTCTCTCACCAGGAGATGGAAGCTTTATGAGCTGAAATAGAGAAGCTTAAATAATTGATGCGGGCTCCACCTACCTTGCTTACCCCTCAGGCAGTTGCCCGGGATTCACATTAGCATGGGCATGATGTAATGTTATCAGGGACTTCAAATTCACCTCAAAGTTTCAAGGCTGTGAAGGCGTGTTTAGCCCAAGGAAGGATTTAAAAGACTTGGACATACTTTGAGGGTTCTCGGACAACTGCAGACTTGCACCTGTCAGGTGGACGTGCACACAGTTCCCTATATATTACAACTGAAGGTCCACAAATGTGTTCAACACATGCACATTTCCCAATCTGCACTTCACTGAATTGGTGGCCGTTATGCACCAAATTGTTGTTCATCAACTGCCAAAAAAAAAACATTGGAAAGAAAATGGTGACATCAGGACGGCAAGAAGAGCTCCTGTGATTGGTGTTTTTCGCTGAACAACAAGCAAACTGCAAAAAGAGACAATACAGTGTGCAACCACTGAATGAGAGTAGGACCAGGGATGGCGATTACAGTACAATGGTGCAACACGTGAGAAGCATTGATGAGGAATATGCACAGTCAGCATCACAAATTTTGGGCTGCACATGGACCTCCACTGAGCAGGGGGAGGGATCCTGCCCACTGTGGGTGACACTGTGTGCAGCCCTGGCTAAGGCTAAGGTTGGGGTATTGCGGTGTTTCAAATGGCTCTTGCACTCCCACATTTTCAAGTTCCAGCGTTTTGAAGTTAGTCATTGTACCAGAAGTGTGGCTACATACTGGGCGGCAGTCAGGGGGATGGCACTAACAGAGATCTGTGTGGCAGTTTCCTGGACAGCATCTTGCACTTTATCAAGGTTTTATGATTCTGTGAACTCCTGAATGACTGCCAGTCAGAATCTCTTGGGGCAAGGAGACTGTCAGAGGCTGAATGTATGCTACCACATGGTATTCATAGCTTACACGTCACATATGTGAGATCTCGACATGGGTGGAGCACTATGAGACATGTCATTTTGTTTACAGCCGTTGGCAGTCATCCAGGAACTCAGAACCACGGTTATACCTGCGTAACTTCTGAAAAGTGTCTGAAAATAAGACAAAACTACCTCTGTGAATGTGGACCCAGATTATACAGTAAACACAACACTATCTCACAAGAGGAGATTCTTATTAACTTTAAACCAACAAAAATCTGCTAAGCTGACTCTGTTTACCTCAGCCTAAAGTAGAACCATCAAGGTTTTATTGGGTAGTGTGAACAGGTCTGTCTGGTTTACAACATTTGTGTCTGTCGGGGAGACTGGAGCAATGTTTTTGGTTGTTGTCGTCAGTTTTTCTTTAATGTCGGCCGTTGGTCAAACAGAACCCATCATGGACTCTTCTTATGTTGCTGCTGTGTATGAGCACAACTTAATCCTGAACCCGGAGCCTCTTGTCGCCCTGTCCCGTACCGCTGCCCTGCAGCATATGCAGAAAAACCTGGATATCTACGAGGAGCAGGCAGCCCAGGCTGCTCAGCAGGTACGGTCAGGTCAGGAGAGAGTTATAGATGTTCAGTTTTTCAGTCAAAAAAATAATCTTGCTTATTGCTCACCATGGTGACACTGACAGTTAAATTTGTTACAGATTAGAAACTTCCTGCATGTCACAGTTGTTGTTAGTTTATGACTTAAACTTTTACTGTTGTGGTCCTTTAAGTAAAGTCTCAGGTGTCACTTGTTCCAAATTGCAGAATATATAAAAGTTACTACAGCTTGGATCATAACCAGGGACCACTAACTGTTTATGTTTGATCAGTGGCACAACCAAATTAGGGATGGGTGGAATTAATGTATCACAGCTTATGACGACAGAGGAATGATTAAGCTTGTCTCATCTATGTACTCTGTTCTCATCTTCCCTTGATCAGGGAGCCCATATCCTGGTGTTTCCAGAAGACGGTATTCATGGTTTCAACTTCAGCCGTTCGTCCATCTCTGGCTACTTAGAAACCATTCCTGACCCCCAGCAGGAGAGCTGGAACCCCTGCACAGAGCCTGGCATATACATCAACACTGAGGTGCACAATCACACTTCTAGATTTAAAGTTGTTATTGAACAGGCACTCTGACATGTGATATACTGACATGAAGACACAACTATGCTGCTCAGGGCCTTCACACATACAGCACCATTTTGTGAATATCAGTCACATTTGAGTGTGGTTGTGTTAAACAGGTTCTCCAGCGGTTGAGCTGTATGGCCCGTCGTTACAACCTCTATGTGGTGGCCAACATGCCTGACCTGCAGCCCTGCCCCTTGAAGACTGACCCCTCCTCCTCCTGTCCCCCTGACGGACACTGGCAGTTCAACACCGACGTGGTTTTCAGGTGCAGTGTAGACCTTAAAATAGAAATAATGAAACTGAAGTCAGGCAAGAACACCAATAAATTTCCTAGTCTGTGTGAACTGTTCACAGAATCTTTTTTTTTACAGCTCAGATGGCCTGCTTGTGGCACGCTACCATAAATACAACCTCTACTTTGAGGAATCCTTCGACACACCGCCTCAACCTGAGATCATAACGTTTGATACACCTTTTGCTGGAAAATTTGGCCTCATGANCCTTACTAGCAGCCAACATCCGTAGTGACCGACTGATCATGACAGGAAGTGGCATCTACACCCCCTTCTCTGCCACTTACTACCACGCCCAGAAAGGAGAGCCAGAGGAGGGCAGGCTGCTGGTGGCCAGGGTGCCAGTGTTAGACCCACTGTGGGTGGGGCGGAGTGGAACCACAGGGGAGGGTGTAGTTAGTAGTCAGTCCACATCATCGACACCTACAGACTCTGGATACTGTTACCAAGACAGCTGTTTTAATTCTCCTCCTCCTGAAACAGCTCCATCAGTTCCTCCCTCCTCCACCACCTTTATCTCATCCATGATGTACGACCCATTCACATTTGTCCTCTTAAACCAGACAGAGGGTGAAGTGAATGTGTGTAATGGCACCTTTTGCTGTCACCTGCAGTACCGGCGCTTACCGCAGGGTGGCAGTGAAGAGCTCTACGCATTAGGAGCATTTGCTGGAACACACACTGTGAACGGACGCTATGCCCTGCAGGTATGAATGACAATAAGTTTGAATATTTTCAAGCTGCTTTTTGAGACTCTTGTCACATGTGTCATATCTGTGTTGCAGGTGTGTGCACTGGTCCGCTGTGCAGGGTTGGACATCAGTTCCTGTGGACAGGAAGTAGAAGAGGCTGAATCTAAAATGGACTTCATGTTGGAGGGGAAGTTTGGGACCAGATATGTGTACCCATCAGTCTTAGCTAGCAAGCTGGTTCTGGAGCAGCCTGAGCATCTGGAAAGAGCTGCAGATGGCACAGTGACCATGAGACACTCGAACATGACTGGTGGGCTGCTCACTGCCTGTCTGTACGGACGAATGTATCACCTTGACAATGAGTGAACTGCTTAGGAATAGATGGGTGTGGCAGGAGAAAAATGACAAATACATTTTAAAAACTGATTTATCAAAATAAGACGGGTTGAGTTGTCATACATTTGTCTTTTGTCATATACACTACTTACGTGTGTGAGTGAAAGCGCCAATGTCTTCTATGATAGCTCAAAGAACTCTGAATAAAACGGCAATCTGTCCAGGCAGTCCAGTTGGTCTGTGTCATTCCTTCCTCACATGTAGATCGCAGTAGCCCAGAATGCAAAAAGGCAAAGGAGTACGCCCTCTCTCACCAGGAGATGGAAGCTTTATGAGCTGAAATAGAGAAGCTTAAATAATTGATGCGGGCTCCACCTACCTTGCTTACCCCTCAGGCAGTTGCCCGGGATTCACATTAGCATGGGCATGATGTAATGTTATCAGGGACTTCAAATTCACCTCAAAGTTTCAAGGCTGTGAAGGCGTGTTTAGCCCAAGGAAGGATTTAAAAGACTTGGACATACTTTGAGGGTTCTCGGACAACTGCAGACTTGCACCTGTCAGGTGGACGTGCACACAGTTCCCTATATATTACAACTGAAGGTCCACAAATGTGTTCAACACATGCACATTTCCCAATCTGCACTTCACTGAATTGGTGGCCGTTATGCACCAAATTGTTGTTCATCAACTGCCAAAAAAAAAACATTGGAAAGAAAATGGTGACATCAGGACGGCAAGAAGAGCTCCTGTGATTGGTGTTTTTCGCTGAACAACAAGCAAACTGCAAAAAGAGACAATACAGTGTGCAACCACTGAATGAGAGTAGGACCAGGGATGGCGATTACAGTACAATGGTGCAACACGTGAGAAGCATTGATGAGGAATATGCACAGTCAGCATCACAAATTTTGGGCTGCACATGGACCTCCACTGAGCAGGGGGAGGGATCCTGCCCACTGTGGGTGACACTGTGTGCAGCCCTGGCTAAGGCTAAGGTTGGGGTATTGCGGTGTTTCAAATGGCTCTTGCACTCCCACATTTTCAAGTTCCAGCGTTTTGAAGTTAGTCATTGTACCAGAAGTGTGGCTACATACTGGGCGGCAGTCAGGGGGATGGCACTAACAGAGATCTGTGTGGCAGTTTCCTGGACAGCATCTTGCACTTTATCAAGGTTTTATGATTCTGTGAACTCCTGAATGACTGCCAGTCAGAATCTCTTGGGGCAAGGAGACTGTCAGAGGCTGAATGTATGCTACCACATGGTATTCATAGCTTACACGTCACATATGTGAGATCTCGACATGGGTGGAGCACTATGAGACATGTCATTTTGTTTACAGCCGTTGGCAGTCATCCAGGAACTCAGAACCACGGTTATACCTGCGTAACTTCTGAAAAGTGTCTGAAAATAAGACAAAACTACCTCTGTGAATGTGGACCCAGATTATACAGTAAACACAACACTATCTCACAAGAGGA